TTTTTGTTTATCAGTTTATAATGTTCTTTATTATCCATAAATGAGTGAGGTCATGTGGTGTTTCTCTTTCATTGACTGTCTTATTTCACTCAGCATGATGTTCTCCAATTCCATCCAGATTGCTGCAAATGATAAGAATTCCTTTTTTATGGCAGCATAGTATTCCATTGTGTAGATGTACCATAGTTTTTTGATCCAGTCATCTGCTGATGGGCATCCATGCTGTTTCCAAATCTTAGCTATTGTAAATTGTACTGCTATGAACATAGGGGTGCATATTTCCTTTCTGATTGGTGTTTCTGGTTTCTTAGGATATATTCCTAGGAGTGGGATTACTGGGCTGAATGGGAGTTCCATTTTCAGTTTTTTGAGGAAGCTCCATACTATTCTCCACAGTGGCTGCACCAGTCTGCATTCCCACCAGCAAGGCATGAATATGTTGACTTTTAATTACAGTTCTCCAAACATTTGAAGAAAACTGCCCTTTACTTCCTTCCAGAGTAATCTCTATGCCATACTTAGGGAACTTCATTTTAAAAATCTTTTTTTATACCAAGCAACAAATATAACAAACATGGTTGTTTTTTGAGGTCTTAACAAATACTGCCGCAAAGCCATATATTTCAAGTAATTTTTCACTTATGGTGACTGTAATTAGTCAGATTTAATATTTTAACAACAATCTTTAGTTTACCCTGTAAATATTAGCAGAAGAGATTTCAAAGTTTTAAAATTTCTCCTTTTTATTAAGCTTAAAATTATATTTTTAAAGAGTATCCCTTTTGGCTTATTTGCATATACAGAAGGATTATGGGAGGTTTCAGTAATTTTCCTAGACTTTACTTGGATTCAATTATAATTCCAGGATATAAAGAATAAATAATGTGTAAGACTTAAAAATGAGGCACATGGCATATTGCATGGTGTATTGAGCATTGAAAATAATTCATAAACTCCCAATCTGTGAAACACAAACACCCAGAGTATCCTAGCAGACACCCCCACAGGGAGTCATGACTCTTGGCTTGCCCAGTGTCCCTGACTGGACACATGCTTCCCCCTGAAAGTTCCCTGTTTGAACTTGGCTCTGAATCTTTGGGAGTTCCTTAACAATGCATGTGACCTGTCCCTTGCTCTTAATTGGAGCCCAGGTGCATGGTCTTTCCCGATTGGCTAATTCAAAGGGAGGGGTTGGCCAGGGAGTGGCAAGCCATGTGGCCAACATGGCGGCCAAGTCACAAAGTCCAAAATGGCGGCTGTCTAAACTGTTCTTTGACAGAAAAGATGATTTGTTTATTCTCACAATAAACAAGGGAAGAGCAAACCAAAATCTCTAAAAGGTAGTCAAAACTATATCGCAGACAAACAGACAGAAATCTCATAGCTGTTTCTGGTGGCTGAACCCTGCGAGGGAGAGCAAGAAGAGCCCCCAGGATTAAGAATTCTCGGCAGCTGCTGGGACGTTCTTGCAATGTCTCTCACACTTTCAATCCCACCACACATAACTAGGCCTCCCCAAAGTGGGACTTGCCTCTTCTTTAAATAAATCAAACAACAACAAAGAGACACAAAAACATGAACACCCTTATACAGGCATGCAGAACACACTGAAAGTGTATACCAGAGGATGTCCAGCCTTAAAAATTACCAAAGCAGTGTCTTTTGTCCCTGGTTTGGGAACTGCCCCGCTCTAGAATTTCAGTGTATCCCTATGGACTATTCAAAAATAAAGCCCAACATGGGCTGGGGTCTTTTCTAGTTGCCTCTGCCTCCCTTTGTCTGGGGAATCTTCCATGAAGATAATCAGAGGCATGCTTCCCAAGGGGAAAAACGGGGTGTAGACATTTATTAACTTCAGAATATTCTGAGACAGTCTCTAAAATTTATTAATTTCCATCTTATTGGAAGAAATGTATTTTCTATGCTTTTCCTTAGAACCTTCTAATTTCAGGTAGCAAGTTAAATACTTAGCATTTCCCTAACTAATACTTTTACATTTTTTGAGAATATATTTCAATTAAAATATAATACAAGGCATATTCAAATAGATTAAATTCTATCCTCTAGATTTTTTTTTCATATGAGGCAAATTTAGATTAATATTTTAGTATCTTGTTATTTTAAAAATACCCAGATATCCAGTAATTTTTATTTAATTTAGCAACATTCTAAAGTCTTAAGTTATGAAAGGCTTTGGAAAACTATGTTTCTAGCAAAAAGGCAGGGGGAGGGGAATTTTAAAACCGCCACATTTTTCCTAAGAGAGAACACGTCGCTGCCGCCGGCTTCTCCGCTTTTACACGAAGAGTGACTGACCCTTTATCATTGATATATTATTGGTATATTACAATATATCATTGATACATTATTACCGAAAAGCTTTACCACACATTCTTTATTTTAGCTATTTTTGTTATTTACGTTCTAGCAACTTTTAAGATTTCTAAGCTAATTACAGTCCAAAGCATTTTCTTTTGGTAAATATTGTAACACAGATAACTTGTTGACTTTTAGTGGCTTCAATGCTAAAGTATTATTTTATTTTATAAAAACAAGAGTGCCTCCAAGATTTGGGAGGCAATACATTATTATTCAAGAACTATCATTATTATGGAAACAATCCTATTGCCTAAATCCAGCCTGTGTATTTTCCTCGTGTCATCTTTGCCATCTTTTTTAAGAAGCAGCAGTCTGGTTTGTTCTGTAGCATCCGTGAGAAGTGCCTGAGCCCACATTGCCCTGCCTGAAGCGTTTCTCCAAAGCTCTCCCTACAGTAAAGGCCCTCCTCCACCGGGAGCTGCAGGAGCCGAGAATACCGATCAGCAGGAGCCAAGAATGCTTCCGAAACAGTGCCCATAATTTCTCCGGTAATCCTTCCGGGATAGCTCTTGGACAAGTGATTCTATTAACAGCGAGTTAAACATTTCAGGATTAGGACATGGCGGTGGAGGGGCCATGAAGGCCATTCCTCCAATTTTTTTTCCTTTTTTCCTTTTGCTCCTCTTTAGGAGGGAGGTGCGAGGGGAGGAGGTTTACCCTCAGTCTCTCTAAAAGGCTGCAGAAGCTGCAGCACTGTGTTCCACAAGGAGAAGCAGTTTGGAGGCGTATTTTCCCTGCTGTTGAGATTTTTCAAATTTTGACCAATTTTCCCCCCAAACATTCAAGATCTTCAGGAAACCAAGCGTTTTGTTCTATAATGACATCAAACAAAACCTGTAAGAGAATACCTTCTTAAACCTTAATTCCTTAAGCACCAAACCAAATGTCTATAATGAAGTTCCTTCCTCTTTTATCGAATCCTGCCCCATTAGCCTGGTTAAAGCTACGTTCCCACCCCCCTTACAGGTCGCGGTTTCTGCAGCTGAGGGGGGCTCTGCGCGGGCGAGACTCCCCTCCTACACGGCGTCCCACCCCACCTCCCGGGAAACCCCGTGTTTCCGCTCCAGGAGAGTCCTCTCCTCAGAGGCCTGTGAGGTGCCGGCTGTGAGGGACCCACGTCCCGCACGGTTCAGGGTTCGGAAATAATAGTTTGGAAATATTGGGGGACCAGGCAGAGTCCTTCCTCTTGAGCTGGGCTCCCGCCTGGTCCCCCAATATTTCCAAGTTACTGTTTCTTGTCTCTTTCATTTGGGTGCAGCCCCTCTTCCAGAGTCTGAACCCCGAGCCACGGACCACGCGGGAGGGGGGGGGGGTCATTCAGTCCCCGTGGAAGCACCCCCAGAGGGAGGCTAGTTCCGGGGTGCCCCTGCAGGGGTCACTCACAGCTACCACCCTGGCCCCCAGAGGCTGGTCAGGGCCTCCATGGCGGAGTCCACGCTGGAGGCGTCAACGCCAGCTGAAGCGTGGGAAAGTGATGACGACGACGATGGCACCTGTGATCAAAGTATTTTAGGGCTGTACCTTTCATACTGTAACCAAAGGAAGGCTCAGGTTAAACGTTACTGGAATTTCCAGATCTTCAGGTGGATCCAAATACTGAAACAAGCATTTACTCTCACAGCTCAGCCTCTGTCGAATCCAGACCCCGGCCTCGCACTGTTCCTCTCACGGAGCCCTGAGCAAAGCGTTCAGGGCCTCCCGGCGGAGGATGAGGCCGAGTGGTAAGAGCATCGAGGTGGAGGCCAAAGGCTGCCCTGGTTCCCAGTGCCCTCCCCATCCTTCCTGCTGTGGAAACTGCCCACCTTGTTTTCACCAAGACCAGACATGGAGCGCCGTGGTCAGACCATGTCCGTCCTCCCCTGGCTGGCTGGCTCTGCTCCTGGCTGGCCTGTGCTCAGGCCCCAGGCAGCTGCTGGGCCACAGGGTTGCTATGGAGAAAACCAGCAAACCCAAGGGGCGGTGCCTGTTGCCAGGAGGGTGGGGGTGGGGGGGGGGAGAGTAAGGGGGGAGGAGCTGAGCTCTTTGTTAGCTGGGATTATACTGTTTTGGGTTTGGGAAGGACCAGGAGCTTTTTCAAAATAACCCATCAACTTTTCAAGCTTCCCGGGGTTGCACTCGGCCCACCCTCTCACCAGTCCGCTTCCTAGCTATTCTGGGGGTCAGCCCTCTATCCAATCCGATCCCTTCCCCAGGCCAGACTGACAGGCCTCTGCGTTGCCTCCTGGCTCCCACGGGCATGTGCTCACCTCGCCCAGTCTGGGTGGGGAGGTTGAAAGCGGGGTGCTCACCCCCTGGGCTAGGCTGGTCCCCTCCCCTGGGTGCCAATGGATGCAGCAGCTTCCTAGGAACGCAGGCTTATGGGGCCTCACTGATCAGCCTGAATGACGGAGGCTTCCTCCGCTCCGGCTGCAGTGATGCCTGGCCCTGATGCTAACAGCCCCCAGGAGCCCGCCTGAGGGGGCGCAGAGGCCACAGCCTGCACGTCACCGTGGGCACAGTCCTGACTGCCTGACGCAGGAGACACAGAGGAGCATCCAGTTGATTAAGTTGGAATAAACCTGAAGAGAAACACTCATTGACTGATGTGAAATAATACTAACCTCAGGGTTACCAATTCTTTATTAGAGACTCCCATTTCCAGTCACGTCACAAGGCCACTGCAGACACCCTGTCCTGGTGTCTGGATTGTCCTCCCGTCGGGCAGCGGGCAGCGGCTGCGGCAGCCGGCGCTCAGCACAGCCTGGCTCCCCTGGCGCCGGCCGTCCTGCTCGCTCCTCCCGGCCGCCCCCGGTGCCCAGGGCAGTGCCCCGGGCAGTGCCCCCGCAGAGACCTGGAATCGTGCTCTCTCCGCTCCTGCGGACCCAGCGAACACCGGCCGCAATGCCTGACTTCGAACGCAGCCGGGGCAGCCGGGAAGGGGCGGAATGACTGACTGAACAAGTGTTTCATGGCCCATCGCTCGGTCCAAAGACAAACATTTGGATAAGGCTGTGCACCTTGCTTTGGTGAGGGAGAAAGAAAGGAAAGTCGGCTCCCCCACCGGAGCCTTTCCCAGTGGTCCTCTGACCCCAGCGGAGCTGGTCAGGAGAATGCCAGCGGCGTCAACTCCAGTCACCAGCGCGCAGACCGGGCGGAGGGGTCTCCTCGGAGCAGCATTCTCCCAGGGGCCGTGCAGGGTGGCTCCCGCGGGGAGGGCGTCGCTGGTCAGCGGCCGGCACTGGCCGCGCGCGCAGCTCTGCGAGGAGCTCCCGGGCCAGGCGTCTGGGTGCCGGGGCCTCCGTGCGGAGGCGATCCCATCGGTACAGGGTCTGGTCCAGGAAGCCGATGGTGTCCAGGGCCGCCGCCTCAGTCTGCGCCACCTGAGTGAGGAGAGGCCACGTGCAGCCCTTCAGGCAGCTCCTCCGCCTGCGGAGGCAGCGCTCCCGCCAGCTGCTCCGGCACCAGCGGGCACGCCCGCCCGGAGGCTGGACCGGGGAGGGCCTTCCCGCAGGTGCCCCCTCCCCCTCGGAGGCCACGGCACTGTCCTGGGGGGCCAGGGCGGCGGTGTGGCTTTGGGGTCACTGGCTGTGGGGCTTTGGGGTCACTGGCTGGGGGGCTTTGGGGTCACTGGCTGGGGGAGATGACGGGGTGAGGCGGTGTTGGGGTCACTGGCTGGGGGGCTTTGGGGTCACTGGCTGGGGGAGATGACGGGGGGGGCGGTGTTGGGGTCACTGGCTGGGGGGAGCAGGCACACAGGAACGGGGCTGACTTCCCGCAAAGGCGCACTCACACTGTATGAGAACCAGAAAAGCTGCGGGGACACGCCTGTTTTCGCACAAACAGCTTTACGAATGGCGAATGGCGTTCCTGGCCGCCCCGCCCCGCTGTTTCAAAGGCACCTAAGGTTTTAACACCTGATTGTGAGAGAGGCAGGAGTTGTGAGTTCTGCTCACTGCGGCCTCAGGAGATGGAGTTGTTGGTGCCCTTACGAGTTTTCCCAAGAATGTCAGCTCAGCAAAAAGGGAAGGCAAGAACCTTACAATTGAGCCGCACAGTTTACCGTGGCTTTTTAGACACAGCCGCAGTGAGCCGCTGTCTGCTCGCCACTACAGCATCTCTGCATTGGTTGTGAGGGTCAGTTTATACTGAACCCTCCACAGGCTGTGAAGGAGCCACAGCAGCAGGAACAGCTTCCTGCCCTCCACCCACCGGGCCTCCGGCAGGTGCAGCCAGGAGCCCACAGGGCCGCCCCGGGCAGGCCGGCACCGGAGCCGGCGTGCGGGTGAGCTCCGAGGGGCCACGGGGCAGAGAAGGCGCCATGGGCAGGGGGTCTGGACGCCAGACAGGCCTGGTCCCCATCGGAGGCGCAGAGCGGGGCCCTGAAGCTGGGCACGGGGAGGGGGGCAGAGAGAGCAGCAGGCAAAGAAGGCGTCTGACGTGAGACTGGTGGAGACTCTGACTAAGGCCCCGGGGGAGGCGAGGAGCAGCCGATAGCGAGAGGCCAGGGCGGGAAATGGCGGAGGCGGCGGCACAGGCCCCCCCGGCTAAAAGGCAGCCTCAGCCAGGGGCCCCCTCAGAGGGCGCCAGAGGCTGTGAAGAGGAGGGCTCCTTCCTCTGAGCCTCTGTCTCTCCTGGGACATGGTGCTGCCGGGCAGGCTCTGGGGTCCGTCCCCGCTGTCCACCTCCTGTCTGGCCATCTGTGTGCGGACAGCATCCCGGTACACACACCTGCCAAGGCCGGGCCCGTGGTGAAATGCGAATGAGAGTGCGAGGGCTAAAACAGGGACACTTACGTGGCCGAGGACTTCCCGCGCAGTCGCGCGGCCTGCGGGCGCCCAGAGCAGGAAGGTCAGGAGGAGGTGCCCGGCCAGCGGCCCGCAGGCCCCGCCCGGCCGCGCCCCGGCCGCTGCCAGCACATCCCTGGCCGAGAGGGTGGGGCTTCTGAGCAGCCTGCGGAGGGGGCCCAGCACCGCCTTCAGCTCCGCCTGCGGAGGCATTGCAGAGGGAGGTTAGGGGAGGCGGGCAGACGGTGCCGGCATTGCAGAGGGAGGTTAGGGGAGACGGGCAGACGGTGCCGGCATTGCAGAGGGAGGTTAGGGGAGGCGGGCAGACGGTGCCGGCATTGCAGAGGGAGGTTAGGGGAGGCGGGCAGACGGTGCCGGCATTGCAGAGGGAGGTTAGGGGAGGCGGGCGGACGGTGCCGGCATTGCAGAGGGAGGTTAGGGGAGATGGGCAGACGGTGCTGGCATTGCAGAGGGAGGTTAGGGGAGGCGGGCGGACGGTGCTGGCATTGCAGAGGGAGGTTAGGGGAGACGAGCGGACGGTGCTGGCATTGCAGAGGGAGGTTAGGGGAGGCGGGCAGACGGTGCCGGCATTGCAGAGGGAGGTTAGGGGAGGCGGGCAGACGGTGCTGGCATTGCAGAGGGAGGTTAGGGGAGGCGGGCAGACGGTGCTGGCATTGCAGAGGGAGGCTAGGGGAGGCGGGCAGACGGTGCCAGCATTGCAGAGGGAGGTTAGGGGAGACGGGCGGACGGTGCCGGCATTGCAGAGGGAGGTTAGGGGAGACGAGCGGACGGTGCTGGCATTGCAGAGGGAGGTTAGGGGAGACGGGCAGACGGTGCCGGCATTGCAGAGGGAGGTTAGGGGAGGCGGGCAGACGGTGCTGGCATTGCAGAGGGAGGTTAGGGGAGGCGGGCAGACGGTGCTGGCATTGCAGAGGGAGGTTAGGGGAGGCGGGCAGACGGTGCCGGCATTGCAGAGGGAGGTTAGGGGAGACGGGCGGACGGTGCTGGCCTCCGTGGTCCTGGGAGGCGTCCGCGCGGAGAAGAGGACCAGGGCCCCCGGGCGGTGCGGCCGCCCGAGTGGGTTTCCACGTCGCTCCAAACAAACCCGATGGGCGTAATGGAATTTTCCTGGCTTTCTTTCGTCTTGCTCACTAAGCAGCTGGGCGCCAGGCCAGGACCTGACCTTTTCTTGTATGAAAAGAAGCAGAGTGCAGTCAGGTTTTACATTGTGGGGGGAGAACAAAGGGCTCCTTGAGGACTCGCTCACTATCGTGGCCACACATCAGCGGGAGCCGTGTGCGGGCTGTGGGCCTGTCTGTGCGGAGGCTCCCGGGGCCGTCTCCGGGGGCGGGGGAGGACACACACACACACACACACACACACCACACAGCACACACACAGCGCACACACACACACACAGCACACACAGCACACACACAGCGCACACACACACACACAGCACACACACAAACACACACGCACACACACACAGCACACACACAGCACACACACAGCGCACACACACACACACACACACACAGCACACACACAGCGCACACACACACACACACACACACACAGCACACACACACACAGCACACACACAGCGCACACACACACACACACACACACAGCACACACACAGCGCACACACACACACACACACAGCGCACACACACACACACAGCACACACACAAACACACAGCGCACACACACACAGCACACACACACAGCACACACACAGCACACACAGCACAGCACACACACACAGCACAGCACACACACACACACAGCACACACACACACACAGCACAGCACACACACACAGCACACACAGCACACACACACAGCACACACACACAGCACACACACACACACAGCACACACACACACAGCACACAGCACACACACACACAGCACACACACACACACACACACACACACACAGCACACACCACAACACAGCACACACCACAGCACACACAGCACACACACACACACACAGCACACACACACCACACACACAGCACACACACACAGCACACCACACAGCACACACACACACCACACACACAGCACACAGCACACACACACACACACAGCACACACACACAGCACACACACACACACACACACACAGCACACACACACAGCACACACACACACACACACACACACAGCACACACAGCACACACACACACACAGCACACACACACACAACACACAGCACACACACACACAGCCACACACACACACACACACACACACAGGACACACACACACACAGCACACACACACACACACAGCGCACACACAGCACACACACAGCACACACACAGCACAGCACACACACACACACACACAGCACACACACACAGCACAGCACACACACAAACACAGCACAGCACACACAGCACAGCACACACAGCACACACACACAGCGCACACACACAGCACACACACACAGCACGCACACAGCACAGCACACACACACACAGCACATACACACCACACACACAGCACACACACACACCGCACACACGCACACACACAGCACACACCGCACACACCACACACACACAACACACACACAGCACACACACACCGCACACACGCACACACACAGCACACACAGCACACACCACACACACACACAACACACACACAGCACACACACGCACACACACAGCACACACACACACAGCACACACACGCACACACACACACACACACACACACCCCGTTTTGTTCTAGATGCCGGACCATCTGTTCATACATGTTTAAAGCCCAAGCAGAGGTCACAAGTCTGTGGCCTCCACATCCTAAAGGTGATTGTGAGAGGTCTGGGGTTGTCTTGCATTAAAAATATTGATTTCATGCTGAGACTTCTGCATGCGATGAGAATGGAACGTCACGCTGTGACTTGGAAAAGAAGGAAGAACGGAAACCAAAGACCCCAAATGCCACACAGACCTCGCCAACGGCTACGTTTCAAACGAAGGAGACTCGGCCTCTTCGGAGAATCCCCGTGACCACCTGTCTGGGTTTGTGGGAGCCCCTTTCTGGATGTGAGGCTCCTTCAGTGAGGCTGTCACAAACGCCAGGACACGAGGAGCTGGGAGCGACCGTGACAATCCAAGCCGTGAGGCGGCAGCGGGGGCGGGGGAGGACACACACACACACACACACACACAGCGCCAGTCAGAGAAAGACAAGCATCACGTGATCTGACTCCTGGGCCGCGCCCCGGCTGCCGGCTCGGTGGGAGCCAGAGGCCTGGGTCTGCACACTGCGGGGCGCAGGGGTCAGCTCAGAGCCCGCCTTCTTGCCGGCACCCCATCCTAGCCTGGCTCCCCCGGTGCCTTCCTGACTTCCCCAAAGTGAAGCTTCCTCATTGTTTCGGGAGAAAGAGAAACTCTTTCCTAAGCATTCTTTGCATTATGGAAATGCAAATATGCTCATTGTAGGAAATTAAACAAAATGTACAAAGGGAAAATTAAATGACCGATAACTCCACCAGCTAAGACTCAGTTAAAAACTACAGTTATAGCCTTTCATCCTTTCTGTGCGCATGCCTGCCTTCCTCCGCATGCGGACACAGCGCTCACTACCACACCGTCTGTTCTCAGTCTCTTCACAGCGCGCCTGACAGCTCGCCCACCTCCAGCACCTGCTCTTGGGGAGCATGATTTCCATGTAGAACGTACCCCGTGGTTGGAATATACCACGGTGTTTAGCCAATATCCTTATTGTTGGAAGTTTGGTCACTTCCAGGTTTTGTGATGAAAAGCGATGCTGAGGTTATTCCTGGTGATTATATCTGCGATCTCTGGTTCCCAGGGGAACTCCTAGGGACGGAACGACAGGGCTGGAGCATGAGCCCGCCGGATCCCAAGGGCAGACACAGACCGGGCAGACCGTGCTTCCTGCTTCCTGGCCTGAGCCTCCAGCGCGGCCCTGCAGCAAGGTCCGCCATAGGCGGCGTTGTGGGCTCAGGCGCCGCTCAGTGGCTCACACAGTCACTGCGCTTCCGAAGGCACCGACCGCCTGACCCGGGGACGGTCACACCCATGACACCCAGGGAGCGGGGCACGGCTACAGGTACAGGAGGGACGCCCACTCCTGCCACCTCACACAGCCCACGTGGACACCCGGAGGTGCCGCCGGCACAGCGGGAAGGACACGGCGGAGCACACAGAGAGAGCTACAGTGGTTTCAGTACGGAGAGGATCCCACTACTAACGGGAAAGATGTGCCAATGCAGAACTTTCCAGAAAGCAAATCTTATAGGGCAGTTTATTTCTCCATGCTAAGCCAGTCAGAGAAAGACAAGCATCACGTGATCTGACTCATGTGGAATCCAATGAACAAAATAAACGGATGAACAAAATAGATTCCGAAACACAGAAGCATGGAACAGACTGCAGAATCTCAGGAAAGGCAAGGTGGGTGGGTGGGTGGGTGGGTGGAAAGATCATATATGCATCGGTGGTGGTAAAGGCCTGCGGAGGGGCGGGGCTGGGTGAAAAACGGGGAGAAAAAAGGGGACACATGTAATACTGTCAACAGTAAAAAGTATATTAATAAAAAAAAAAGTGAAACTCAGTTTCTGTGATCAACATGGAATCTGACACATAACCTTGGCTTATACGGAATAAAATGAAGTACATATAAAAGGGCTTTAGAAATCAACAGAACTTCACATATTTTAATTATTATTAAGCATAAGATGATGAAAGCAAATTAACCATTTCCTTAATTAATTTAATGTGATATTTTAAGAGGGAAGAAATGGGCTTTCTTTTTTTTTTTCTTTTTCTTTTTTTAATATATTTTATTGATTTTTTACAGAGAGGAAGGGAGAGAGATAGAGAGCTAGAAACGTCGATGAGAGAGAAACATCGACCAGTTGCCTCTTGCACATCCCCTACTGGGGATGTGCCCGCAACCAAGGTACATGCCCTTGATCGGAATCGAACCCGAGACCTTTCAGTCCGCAGGCCGACGCTCTGCCACTGAGCCAAACCGGTTCCGGCATGGGCTTTCTTTCTAATCGGATAGCATATGTGGGTTGTGTTAATTTTCTAAATAGTGTTCTATTTTTTATCCAAAATATATTATCACCAAATTTCAGCTTTTTAAATCCCAAACTCTCTTCTTCGCACTGCACGCAGGCCTGTAGCCAATCAGACTCAGCCGTCTCTGCCCGGCTGCGAGGCCGAACACAGGACATGGAGCGACGCAGAGCGGAGGCTCCGCCTGAGACCTCTCCCTGTAATCGTTAACATCAGCACCAGGCGCTGGCAGTTGAAGTTTTAAAAACCAACAAATGAATGTTTGCGAGGCAGGTGCCAATGCCTTTGATCAGAGCACTGCTTCCTGCAGTTACTATATTCCACACGAAATCATGCCACAGCCCTGCCCCGCCTGTGCTTAGCTGCCCTGTCATTTAGGAAATGACCGAGTCCCTTTCAGAAGCAAAGTGGTTAATAGCATGTGATTACTTGTAAGAACTCTAACAGAGCCGGCAGTGTGAGGACTGGGGACCAGGAGAGCAGGAAGTGCAGACGGAAGCAGCACAGCCAGGCCTGGTCAGACAGAGCTCCTCAGTCGAGTGGCCAGACTCTGCCTGGCATCCCCCGGCGGCTGAGCCAGCACAGACAGGCCTGGGCACAGGCGGCACCCTCCCCTCAGTGCTCCCAGAGGCTGGATATAGGAGAGCCCCCCTCCTCCCCCCCAGAGGACATCCAGGCGCTGCCATGAGGAACTGGGAGCACTCACACTTAGGGACCTGGGGTTAGTGGAAGCCAAACCCATTTCTGGGCCCCCTCTGGTAGGATCCTTCCAGCTCAGGAAAGGCCCACCCTGGATGCCACCCACACTGCGTACCGCCACCCACCATGGTCTGCGCTCTCGGCTGGCTCCCGTCACGTGGGCTGTAGCTGAATGCCAAGAGCCACAGCAGGGCCTCAGGGGGTTCAGCCGCCGACATCAGTGACTGCTCAGCCGCCATGTCCGCCCAGCCTCCAAAGCGAGCGAACAGGAACCAGCTCTCAAAGGGGCCTCCGGAGGACCTGGAACAGAACCAGAACACATGGCAGCCAGGCCTGGCTTCCCTTCCTTTGGCGCTTAAGCACGCAATGCTCGCCAACGGCTGGCCTCCATCGCTCCGCCCGCTGCCGCCCACAGGAGCACGGGGGCCTCAGAGACCAGCTCCCGCCCCTGCGCCTCCGGGCCTTCAGAGCATGCCCCCGAGGCCCAGGGCCCGGAGAACCCAGACACCAAGTCCTCACACCAGGAGCCTGCGTGACCGGCCCTGGAGCAGGCAGGCGGTGCCCGTGGCTAGCACGGATGGTGCAGGACGAGGACCTTCTGCCTGGGAGGGCTCCGGCCACAAGCAGCCCCGCGCCCCGAGCGAGCAGCAGCCGGGAAGGGCCGGGCAGAAACGTGCTGCTGCTGTTCTGACAGAACACAGGGCTGGTCCATGTCCTGGCAATCGTGCATTTTAACGAGCTGAATATGGCCTCCTTTCCTGTCAGCGTGGGGCTGAGAGCGGAGAAGTCCCAGCCTCTGGGAGCGAGGCCAGCCCCCGGCACTCTGAGAACTGGGCCGTCAGCTCAAGGTGAGGACCCTCCGGGTCACGGGGTTAACAGCCCCTGGAAAACCGGAGCGGGGCAGCCCGAGGCAGGCAGTGAGCTCTCCTGGCCACAGCTGAGGAGATGCCATGAAGGCAGTGAAGACACCGAGAGAGAGGAGGCAGCACATTCTCACTCCTTCCCCGGGGAGAGCAGGTGCTCCCGGGCCCTGCCGGTGTGTGTGGGCCTGTGCTCCTTGAGTGCTCCCTGGGTGCTCCCGGGCCCTGCCGGCAGGGCTGCGGTATGTGGGCCTGTGCTCCCTGGGTGCTCCCGGGCCCTGCCGGCAGGGCTGCGGTGTGTGGGCCTGTGCTCCCTGGGTGCTCCCGGGTCCTGCCGGCGGGGCTGGGGTGTGTGGGCCTGTGCTCCCTGGGTGCTCCCGGGCCCTGCCAGTGGGGCTGCGGTGTGTGGGCCTGTGCTCCCTGGATGCTCCCGGGTCCTGCCAGTGGGGCTGCGGTGTGTGAGCCTGTGCTCCCTGGGTGCTCCCGGGTCCTGCCAGTGGGGCTGTGGTATGTGGGCCTGTGCTCCCTGGGTGCTCCCAGGTGGGGCTTCGGGATGCGCCCAGAACAAGGAAGAGGCCCAGGGCCCTGCCCAGGGGTCTGCCGAGCAGCGGGGCTCGCAGGCTCCCGCTCCCAGGTGGGCTGCACGCTCGGATCAGGGCCCAGGCCCTCGCTAGAGACGGCCGGGCATTCTCCCTGTCTGCCACCAGTGCCTGTGCTGGGTAGTCCCATGTGGGCTGAGAAAGCACCAGCCTGAGAAGGACCCTCCCTGCAGTGGACCCAAAGCCAGCGAAGGCAGACCCAGGTTAGGCCGGTGTCTGGGAGGCTGGGACGCGGCTCTGCTCTTCGCAGAGGCGGCCAGAACGGGTGCGGGGAGGGTGGCCGGGTGTGCAGGTGGAGGGAATGGCCTCTCCTTCCTGCCTCTTCTGTCCGGGCGTCCGGGTGGAGGGCGGGAGGAGTGCTGGCCCAGGAGGGACCAGGAGCCCGGCCCGCCGCCTGTGATGCTCAGGGATAGGTTCAGGGAATCCCGAGGGAAAACTGGCTAACGGAGCAAACACAGGCAGCCCTGGAGGCTAGTAGAGACGGAAGTACACTCCAAAAGCCAGGAACACATCTGAGAAGGTGCTTAATATTCCGTGAGGTGCTGGTCCAGGAGGGACGGAAACACTGCCCGCCATCCAGGGCAGCTCAGAATCCTCCCTGGGGAGAAGAGCAGAGGTCCAGAGGCTGCTTCTCCTCCGGGATCTGTTCCTGGTGCTCGGGCGCACCAGGCTGCACACAGGCCCGCGTGTGCGGACGCTGGGATGGCCACAGACTGTGCCTTCCCGTCGGCCTGCTGAAGGGAGAGGAGGGACCCGGGAGACCGCAGGTGGGGCCGACCTGGGGTCCTCAGTGTGTGCTCACCCCGGAGCCTGGTCTTCCGCCGCTTCCCTCAGCATCTCAGAAATCCGCCTCAGTGGCTGGTGCCGCAGTCCCTGGGGGATGTCTGTGGGCGGAAGAACAGGGGAACTGGAGACAAGTCTACAGGAGGGAGCCCTGCAGGGAGGGGGGAGGAGTTTGGGGAGAGGCGCGGAGCCCACCCCAGGCTCTCACGCTGCCCCCGGGGAGAAAGATCCGCCAGCCACACCAGCTGCACCTCCGAGTCTGCAAAGCCCGGAGCAGCCCGAGGCTCTTCAATTTTCCCTTTTCTGCCCACCTGGCCCTCCTCAGTCCTAACAACGTGTGATTTCCAAACACGTGGGGACTGATAAGAGTCAAAAAGGAACTGGGGCTGGGCTGCCCAGCTTTTGCTATGATGGCAATGAATTCAGAAAATGATTACAGGTTTATAGTAAAGAAAAGGCTGGGAACATATATACAAACAGATGACTTTTCTTGAGTTAGCTTTTCTGTTTTCACAGTCATCCTGTGATTTTAAACACATCTGAGTCAGTATGTATCTGCAGTTTGAAACATCATGTAATGAAAGATTCTATAAGAAAATACACGAGGAAGATAACGTAAGGAACAGTAACCACTGCTGCTCCACAAATGCTGTGGATTAAACTCTCTCCCTCCTCTGAACTCCGCCTCCGGAGGTGCGACGTTCTCATCGTCTTCCTGAACTACCGTGTTTCCCCGAAAATAAGACATCCTCCGAAAATAAGACCTAGCGAATGGAAAAATAAGACATCCCCTGAAAATAAGATCTAGTGCATCTTTGGGGAAAAAAAATTAATATAAGACACCGTCTTATTTTTGGGGAAGCAGGGGAGCTGTTTAGGTACTTGCTTTCTGTCCCTTCCTCACAGCTGGAGTCAGGGCTCATCAGTGATCCATCTTTTATGCCCACAGCACTTTACAGCGGGCATCAAATCTTTTCTGACGAACAGAAGATTCTATTATTAAAAACACTTCAATTTGTGAACATAGCACTGTTTTGTTTTTCTAAAATATGCAGAAGACTGTTCTAGAAACTAGCATAGGAGGCTCTTGTACTTCTGCCTAAATTTACTTACTTTGGACGTAAATCCAGACAACCGCACGGAGGAAAAGGGGGTAGGCTGGGCCCAGGCCTGTGTACCCCCTGGGTCGTTTGCGTACAGGTTCCTCCTTAAAAGGAACAACTCCAGTCCTGCTCCTGGAGTGCAGGCTTCTCAGTGGCCTTAGGCTTGTGATTGACTAGCTGTGAGTGTAGCCTTGGAAGGGGAATTCCTGACTTTTCTGTCTTGATAATAGTCTTCCCATGTGTTTCCACAGGTTACATTTCACAGGCCCAGCACCACCTCCACCTCCAGCCTCCGAGAAGACAGAGTCGGTGGGTCACCTGAATGAGAATCTATGAAGCCGGTTTTGTAAAATGCTGTGAAACCCGGGGACATCTGCTGTCCTTACTGAATCTGCTTCCCCAGGTCTCCGGGAAAGGCCAGGAGAGGGCAGGAAAGGGAGTGTCAGGGCTCCTTTGTTCTCCCCTGTCCTCTCCGCCCACTAGCAGTGAGGTGCCTCCCTGAGGCTCGAGGTCATGGTCACGCTGGTCTGTGCCGCCCTCCCTCGGATTTCAGGCTTTACTCTCCTTCTGAAATGCTCCCTAACTCGAGCTCACAGGCACCGAAGGGACCAACCGCCTGACCTACAGAATGTGTGATTGTGCGCCACCCACCTGGAGGCTTGGAATTCTCCCCAGCTGCTGAGGCCCAGGGAGCGGGGGTCAGAGCAGGCTGTGGTCCGACACTCCCCGAATTCCTCCCAGGCCTTCCCTGGCGTGGTTAGGAGAAATTTCCCCAAAACCTCCTTGGCTTCATTCATCCTTTTATCTTTTCTTTCCCAACAAGGGGGGTGAACGAAATACAAATAAACGCACTGTTGTCCTCTAACTCAGCCAAGTCTCAGCCTGTCTGGCATCCAGGTGGGCCTGGCGGGCACCAGAGCACATGGTATCCGGGCAGACTATCAACACTTAACAAGTGGCCTTTTTCTCACGCTGTTTTCTTTCTTTTGGTAAAAGATCCTAACAGGGTCTTGTCATAGCGGACTGGGTGCTGAGATGAAGGTCCCTCTCCCCCGCTTCCTAGGGAGCAGGGGGAGGGGGAGGGGCAGTCGGAAACCACATCATACCTTCCGGGTGCTGGACTAGCGCCATGACCAGAGACGGAGGAGCATAAGGAAAGTAGGTCCTGAGTGCAAACTTCAGCTGCAATAGAACAAAAAATTCAAAACCGCATGAACACCAGGATTGGAAGGAGTGTTGAGAAAATACAAATGCTCACATCCTCAGCCCAAAAAGGACCCACTAGTACTAATGTGGTCAAAATGTTTTTCTTTTATTAAAAAAAAAAAAAAAGACGCTTCCAGCAATCTTATAAATACATTCCAGAAAAATCAATCTTTTACAGAAGCACCTGGGACTTAAGGAACATAAAATTCTGCTCTGGTGTCGTTACGTAAGTTCCTTTCCGCACATGGGCCTAATCACACACAGGAATCTTCTCTGTGAGTGAGTCTCCGAGGCAGCTGAGACGTGTTCCGCCACCATCGCCAGGCCACGCGCCCCCCGCCTCGGCCTGTCCGCGGAGGCACAGCAGCTCTACGGGGCTTTCGTAAAGAGTGGAGGGTTTAAGGGTTTAAGGGTTCGAAGTGACAAGCTTTGGTCCCTGCCCCCGGCGGTGCCCTGTGGCTGTGACGGCAACCTTCCACCTGCCCTCGCGCCAACACCGATTTCAACGGGAGATTCGTTTTGCTTATTCTTGAATTTCATATAAACAGGATCATAAGACTATTTATTCTTTTGTGTCTGGCTTCTTTGGCCCAACATGTCTTTTTGAGGTTCATCCATGTTATTGTGTGTAATTCATTATGTTTTTATTGCTTAGAAGTAGTCATAGTATGAATATGCCATCATCTGTTCATTAATTCTCCTATTGCTGGGCATGAAGGTTGTTTCCAGTTTGGAACTATGATGAATAAAGTTGTGATTTACATTCATATTTATGTCTCTCTCTGTACAAGGGCTTTCATTTTGTTGGGTAAATAGTATAGGAGTGGAATTACGGGGTCACAGAGTGGATGCCATTTAAGTTTATAAGAAATCAGAGGCCCAGTGCACGAAATTCGTGCACTGAGGGGGGGGGGGTGTCCCTCAGCCCAACCTGCACTCTCAATCCCTAGGGGATTGGGCCAAAGCAGGCAGTCAGACATCCCTTTTACAATCCAGGACTGCTGGCTCCCAACTGCTTGCCTGCCTGCCTTCCTGATTGCCCCTAACCACTCCCCTGCCAGCCTGACTGATGCCTAACTGTTCCCCTGCCAGCCTAATAGTCCCCAACTGCCCTTCCCTGACAGCCCGGTCACCTTCGCTTGCCCTCCCCTGCATATTCCCTCTTTATTAGACAAGGTTTTTCTTTAACATATTGGACAGTGTACCTGCCGTGGTCTTTACAGTAAAAATGTAAACCCAAACTAAAAGTGTCATAAACTCGTTAAATAGGAATTTTATGAGACCTTGGAAAGGTGATATCATGTGGTTGGTTGTTTCTTCCTTTTTTCCTTCTCTTTCTTTTTCCTGATGTTTCATCTTTTGTCCTTTCTTTCTTTTCTCCTTTTATTCCTTTTCTGTCTCTAATCACTCTGCTGGGGGCAAGGGGAATTCCAAGGCTACAGGTGTGAGTGTGTGGGGGGATCACTCCATGGGGGCAGGCCCTTTGGAGGCTGACGCCCCAGGCTGCCCCAGGGAAGGGATAGCTCTTGGGGGCACAGCTGCCTCCCAGGCTTACACCCTCCCCTCCCCCCGGCTGTGGATGGGAGCTGATCGCTGGGGAGGTGGGGGGATAGGCCGTTGTGGGGCCTCCCAGGCCCACAGCCCAGGCCAAGGCTAGGAGCAAACCATGTGTGGTGGTGGGGAGGTAAGGGGTGAGGGGATAGGGGAGGGCGCGGCTGCTGCCCAGGCTCTGGCCCAGGTCGCAGCTGGGAGCTGGTCACGCCAGGGGTGCACGGCCACCTCCTAGGCCACTGCCCAGGTGGCCACTGGGACCTGACTGCACAGGGTGTGCGCCTCCGCCCAGCTCACGGCTGGGAGCTGATCCCGCTGAGGGTGCGCGCCGCCTCCCAGACCAGCTGATGCAGTGGTCGGCAAACTCATTAGTCAACACAGCAGCGAGCCCGCGGTTTGCTGACCACTGAACTGATGTCCCTCTCCCCTCCTCCCTTCCACCCTCTCTAAAAGCCAATGGGAAAATCTGCTCAGGTGAGGAGTTACAACAAGAACAACAAATATGTCCCCTAAGTTTATACTCTGACGTGTGGGAGACAGCCCAGTACATTAGCAGACCCTGCCACTACTAGCTCCAGATTGGACGGATTTGCTGTGTTTTCCTCACAACCAGCATTCGGCTCCGAAGTGTAAGAACGTGGAGAGCAGCGCTAAGAGAAAGCGAGGTCCGGAAGCCACCCGAAAGCCCGCCCCCAGGAGAGGGCTCACTGCGCCCCCGGGGGCACACGGCAGACCTGCCGCCCGTCCTTGGCTAGAGCAGGGGTCGCCAACCGGGGGTCCGTGAGGTCTGACAGGTTGGCGACGCTGGGCTAGAGGAGCAGCACATGGACATGGCTGATTCCGACCAATCCAGGTCCTGTTTGGCTGTCAGGTTCATTTTATTAAGCACGGATACGTGAATGAGCAAAGAGAACACAGAGAGAATAGGGTGATGCATGGAACACCCAGGACAAAGGACACTCTGCATCAAGGATCATGACTGATCTAAAAATGGACACGCAAGAAAGCAGGGCATCCATGATGCTCATGTCTACCAATAAGAAAGGCAGGCACTCAGGAATGGCCTAGGAAGAGAAATGATATACGTACATGCAGCCATTTGCAAAGGTAAGAGGTCATTGTCCTCTTATTCAGAGTCAAAGGTGAGGGTGATGAGTTCCTGTCTTTTTGGGTCCCTGACCTGCTCCACTAGGAAGCACCACCAGATACATGTAACCTGGTCAGGGCGCTGTTCTAAATTAAAAGTGACAAAGGTAAAACAACCTTAAAGTTGGTATGGAACCTCAGAAGACCCTAAATAGCCAAAGCAATCTTGAGAAAACAACAAAGCAAGAGTTATGCTCCCTGGCTTCAAACTGATTATAAAGCTATAGTGATCTCAACAGTATGGAGCTGGCATAAAAACAGACACACAGATCAATGTAACAGAACCAAGATCCCAGAAATAAACACACGCATATTAGGTCAATTAATTGACAACAAAGGAGCCACGAAAATAAAGTGTGGGAAGGACAGTCTCTTCAATGAATGGTGCTGGGAAAACTAAGCAGCCAGAGGCAAAAGCATGAGGCTGGACCACCATTCTACACCAGATATTAACTCAAAATAGATCTGGCTCCAAAAGCACAGGGAACAAAAGCAAAAATAAACAAGTGGGACTACACTGAACTACAACACTGCTACATAGCAAAGTGCTTCCGCAGCTCAACGAAAAGAAAAGGCAGCCTACTGAAACGGGAAAAAAAAAACACTGCAAAACATATATCTGATAAGGGATTAACATCCAAAATACATGAAGAACTGATACAACTCAATAAAAAAAAACCTCTCAAACAATCTGATTTAAAAACGGGCAGGGTAACTGAACAGACATTTTTCCAAAGAAAACATGCTGATGCCAACAGGTACATGAGAAGTTCAGCATCACTAGTCATTAGGGAAAGGAAAATCAAACCACAATGAGATATCCCCTCATACCTATTACAAATTATGTTAGAATTTCTATCATAAAAAGACAAGAAATAACAAATATTGGCAAGGATGTAGAGAAAAGGGAATCCTTACACACTCTTAGTGGGAATGGAAAATTCGTGCAGCCTCTATGGAAAACAGTGTGGAGGTTCCTCAAAGTGTTAAAAATAGAATTACCATATGATCCAGCAGTCCCACTCCTGGGTATTTATCTGACAAAAATGAAAACACTAATTAAAAAAGACATATGCACCCCCCATGTCCACAGCAGCATTATTTGCAACATCTAAGATATGGAAACAATCTAAGTGTCCATCAGTGGGTGAATGGATAAAGAAAAGGTGATCTGTGTGTGTATATAGGATGGCGTATTACTCTGCCATTAGAAATAAAATTCTGCCATTTGTGACAACATGGGTGACCCTGGAGGGTATTATGCTCGGTGAAATGGTCAGATGGAGAAAGACAAATGCCATATGTGCAATTAGGAAGGGAAAAGGAAGGGAAAGGGAAGGGAAGGGGAACGGAAGGGGAAAGGACTGACCAAGCTCTCAGATGAAGAGAACAGACTGGTGGTTAACAAGGTGGGGAGAGGGGGTGGGGAAATCAGGGAAGGGGGTCAAAGGGTACAAACTTCCAGCTACAGAATAAGTCAGTGACGGGGAGGCACTGTGCAGATGTCATATACTAGCACAGTTCACAATACTATGTTGCCTGTTTGAAAATTACTGAGACTGTAGATTAGGGGTGTCGAACTCAATCAGAGAAGGGGCCAAAATCTAAAATCCAGCCTAAATTGCGGGCCGAATGGTTTACTGAACAGTCATAAACTGTCATTGTGATGGAAATGCAGCGGAGTGCAGTGATGACAGCGAGGTGCGGGCCACATTGCAAGGCCTGGCGGGACGGATTTGGCCCGCGGGCCTTGTGTTTGACACATGTGCTGTAGATCTTAAACGTTCTCATCACAAGGAAACGTGTAAGTATATTTGGTGGCATGTTACCCACATGCGGAGTTATTGCGGAGATCGTCTCACAGAATATATAAATATTTCATCATTATGTTTTACACCTACAACTAGTAGAATATGTCAATTAAACCTCAATAAAAAAAATAAAAGAATTAATTAAAAGCAGGGGTCCTCAAACTTTTTAAAGTGGGGGCCAGATCACGGTCCCTCAGAGAGCTGGAGGGCCGGACTATATGAACTACTAATTCCTACTGTAACACCTTGGCTGCGCTCACTGCCCAAAAAACCTGGCGGGCCAGATCAGACTCCTCTGCGGGCCGCATGTGGCCCACGGGCCGTAGTTTGAAGACCCCTGATTAAAAGCAACTGCAAGTCAAGTCCAAATCTGTAGTGCCCAAGGCCAGCACACAGGAGGAGCAAAGCTGTCCAGAAAACCAGACTCGCACTAACCCAAGAGCAACACTTCTCTCAGTCTCCCCGACTGAGGTGCGCTCCCCGCGGTCAGGAGCTTTCCTAGCAGCTGGGGCCTCCCCGGGAGTGACAGCTGCACCGGGAGGACGGAAAGTGTTTACAGTCATGCCTCAAAGTAAGCACGAGGGCCAGCCAGCAGCGCCTTTCCGCAGACCTCCCCAATTCCAGCCGGGCACCAATGACAAGGCTGTTTGCTACTGTCCAGCGAACTTGAGACGATGGGAAAGATGCACCATAAACAGGTGTCACTGCCTCAAACAGCAATGATAAACCTGAGCGGCGCTTTGGCGCAGACTGTCTGGGACTCCAGCAGAGCTGAGCACCCCCGCTGTTTTCCTCGGTCCGAGTGCTGGGAGCACCAGGGACCGGATGGCCTCCCCGAGGAAGCAGGGCCCAGGCCCTCGAACAGGCGGAGCCCCACACAGAAGTACAAATGCCCCAAGGCGGGAGCCCTCGGTGGAAAGGGCCCAGTTCCCAGGTCACTCACTGGGCAGCGGGCCTGGCCGGGCCACCTGGTCTGTGCGGGGAGCCCTGCAGAGCAGGCCCCTGCAGGCCCTGGGCCGGCCTCCTGGCTTGCTGATGGTGTCCAACTCCCCCCCTTGGTCACGGCCATTTCTAGCTCCTCCTCTACAATGATTCAACTCTCCCCTCATCACCCTCACCACTTCCTTTCTCTCTTGGAATCCAATCCACGTTTGGGTCTCATGAATGGAAACGCTGATAGTTAAGAACGTCCAGGATTGCTTTGCATTAAGTGGCAGTCCTCCAAGCAGATGCTCTACAAGCCCCAGAACCCTCTCGCCCGCTGAGGGGTGGGCAGACAGCTCGGGGTGGGCGGCGTGGCAGTGCTCTGACACACCAACGGTGGGGAAACGCTCTGGGCCCGGGGCCAACAGGAACCACCTCGTTCCTTGCAATTAAAATAGTCCCACCTTTGCTGGGGCATACACTCGGAAGCTTCCTTTGTGAGCACGCAGTCTGGCAGTCACTGAGAATCAAATGCTCCTTCCCGGTGATTAGCCACCTCCTCCGAGCGGGTAAATGAATAATCCGTGCAGTTTAACGAACCTGGTTGTCTTCTTTTCCCAGCGCTTCTACAAAGCAGCACGTGAACACTTGAAGGGCGGCCAGCACTTCCGGGGCTCCGTCGGTTTCCAAGAGCGCATACCTGAGTGGGCAATGGCGGGCACAAGGCATTGAACGATGATCTGCTAACTGTGAGCCTGAATGGGGGGGTGGGGGGAGGTGGGAGGGAGGGAGGGGAGGCACTTCTGGGCCACAGGTGCAGCAGCACATCTCCAGTTAGGGATGTGCAAGAGGCAGCTGATCGATGTTTCTCTCTCATCGATGTTTCTGACTCTATCCCTCTCCCTTCCTCTCTGTGGAGAATCAATAAAATATATATTTTTTAAAATCAACATGTTATAAGACAGCTCACATGGTTGATTTCAACTTTCAGAAGAACTCTGTTAAATAGAAGTATTATTTACTTATTATGTTTTTCCTTAGCTTAAAAAAATCCTTTAAAAAGATTGGTCAGCCCTCGTGTGGTGAAGGGAGTACACTGCTACACTTCATTTTGAGCCGAGAAAAGTGCTACGAGTATTTATTTAAAATCTAGTTCAACTCTTTCTACCATTATTATTAGAATTTGAAACGGGTAAATAAAGAAAATTATTTTCAGTCCCCAAGCCGACGCTCTATCCATTGAGCCAAACCGGTCCCAAGAAAATTATCTTAATTATTAAGCATTGGTTTTAAGTTTACAATTTTAAAATTTGGGTTTTACCAAAAAGCTCAGAGGGTCAGATGGGATCAGAAACTAATTCCCCATGACACACCCAGAGAGCACCACAGGAAGTTTTTATTTATATTTGGAAATGGAGCATTTTTAAACCAATTATTAGCAGAAATAGCGCAACATTTACCTGAACATTTCATCAACGATCCTGAAGATGGCGGGGTGGCAGGCTGCTTCAGGCTGGAGGAGAGACCAGGAGGCAGGAAAACATCAGAAGCATCATCAGTAACGTCTGGCTACCATCAGGCTGAGGAGCTGTTGGAATTGCTGGTGCCTAACCATGGGCCCAGTCCTCCGGGTTAGGAGAAACGGCCAGAGCCTTGCACACAGATGCGAACAGTGGCTCTCCTTGGCGAGGGGTTACAGGCATGCTCTCCCTCCCCTCAGGTGTAGGTGTGTCCCACGTTTTCTACAAAAGGCCCTCTGGCCCAGGAGAAAGGAGCCAGTCTCGTGGACAAATATGAAACACTTCCTGCCAGGACGCTGCAGCGAGGGCTCAGAGCTGCCTGCCCAGCCAGTGTTGGTAATGAGTCTGACCTCCCAGGGCCAAGGAGACCTCCAGGTCAGACCTGGGCGGGCTCTTCCTGTCCCCGTCTGTGAGGTGCTGAGGTCGCCATGGTTTCATACCGAGGACAGCAGTGACCACTGTCATGATGGACTGTAATATCACAGCTCAGGGCACATGAATTCAGCAATTTATTTAGGATGGAAGGAGGGTTAGTACAAAATGTAACGCACCATCATCTCAAAGACGGAAGTAATCTGATTTATTCCCTGAATGTTTCTGTGATGGGTTTTGATGGTTTAAACGTGCAGAGGCCAACAGCGCCCAGGTTTGGCGTTAGCAGGGCTGACCCAGGTTCTGTGTCTGCCTGGGCAGACATCAAAGCATGAGATTAGGCCGGATGAAAATGCCATTTGTGTTCTTAGGTATTTTGTAGTAGCACCCAAGAGTTAGTGGGTTAGGCTCTAGAGGCAATTTCTTGGCGCCACAGTATGCTTGATATGACTAGTTTTGGGAAACATCTCTTTTCATACCCCCACCTGCCCCAACAACAAGAAAAAAAGGGTGTGCTCCATCCCTCAAGTTTTCTGATCCCGCGGAGGAGAGCAGAGCGCCTGTCCCCACAGACTCTCCCTGTGGGCTCCGCGCAGGCATTGTGAGTTGCAACATTGAATGTGCGCCATCTAGTGTTCTCACACCGCCACTACAGGCTGCCACAGAAGGCCCCGCAAGAGCATCCCCACTTATTAAAGTGATGGATGATTCCCTTTTAATTATTTAAAGGGATTTGGGACCTGTAAATTACAAATCTCTGCTCTTTAGCAGAGAACCCAGGCTCCATAATCCTCCACTCATGTGCATTCTAAAAGAAACCAACTAAAAATGCTCGCAGATAAATCTATTATGCACTCAAGAACTAGCTTGCCAGAACCGTGGCTCAACAAAGAGGCGGGTTATTTCTTGGCTTTGATCTCAGTTAATCGCCCTGCTTCTCAGCTTCACTGTAAATAATAACAGTTACTAACAGGTTACTGGATATATGCCCAGAAAATATCATAAAAGTTTCTATGTATTCATAATGGAAAAATCAAACAAGAAGGAAAAAGCAAAGTGCATGTCTGGAAGAAAAGTGATTCATCAAATGTGCCAGGACAGCTTTTCGGATTCATACACAGACCACAGGCTCCCGAACACACGCGCCTCAGAGGCAGCGCCACGGCCACGTGCCCATGGGCAGGCCGGCCTGGGAACGCTCGGCTGGAAAGCCAAACTAGAGAGGTAATAGAACGCCACTCCTGCTGCTCGAGAGCTCTGACCTGTCTCACCGCTCAGAGCCGCTCTATAGACGTGATGCTGCCGAGTTTCCCGAAAATAAGACTTCCTCCGAAAATAAGACCTGGCGCATGGAAAGATAAGACATCCCCTGAAAATAAGACCTAGTGCAACTTTGGGGAAAAAAATTAATATAAGACACTGTCTTATTTTCAGGGAAACAGGGTGGTAGAAACCATTGGATACTAATTGCCAGCTTTCCAGGTGGCAAAGAGAGGATGACCCGGGTGTGGAATAGGACTTCCACGAAAATCTAAGGGAGAAGCAAGAAAGCTCTAACTCAGTCCATTAAAAACAGATTGAAATGTGGACCCACGCTTCCTTTATGCAATGTTTTCTAGCAAAACAGCTTAATGAATCCAATGTCGCAAATGTCCCCAGGCTGTGTGGATCTGCCTGCCACTCCCCACCAGCGCACTCCCCTCTTCACTTCCTGCTGCCCAAGGATTTCAGATCTTTGGTTGCTGGCAACCTGCGCCACGACCTGTTTACTTTTTAAGATGGGTGGGATGACGGGGCAGGGCACTCTGCTGACACAGCAGCGGCAGAACTTTCTGTTCTGAAACCAGTCTCCCAGAGCCGTGAACAGCTTTTTCTCATCCGTGGCCTTTGCTGATGGCTTTCAGAACGAGACTTCACACTTCCCGCGCACACAGTTTCAGGGTCACCGAGCCCCCTAAGCCCAGCATCTCACAGGCCAGGCATGTGTGCCAGTGACATCAAATCACACAAGTGAATTTAAGCTGCTTTTCTTATCAAGGGAATCCTCCAAATAGAATTAAAGTCTTAACGGATGCTTCCATGGAAGCCATAACTCCCCCCGAGTCCGTACAGCATCCTGTGGGGGAAGAGGCGAACCTGTAACCCTGCGTCCTGTCTGCTTGCTAAACTGGGACCCCGCAGTGACACCCACAGCCACGCTGCAGCCAGAGCCCAGGCTCTCGTCTCTCCTGTAAACACGAGGAAGGAAAGAGAACGTCTTGGAGTCCACCTGCTGGCATGCCCTCCCCCGGCCTGCCAGCCGGCGCTTCCAGGCTGCTCCATCTGGCCCAGCGACTCCCACACCCAGATGACTCCGAGGCTGGGAAACGATGCCACCAGGAGGCCATCAATCACAGGAGGTTTGTCCTTCTCCCGCCTCCTCTCACTGCCCAGGCCTTTCACGCAGCTTCCGGGACGAACAGACAAGGATGCTGGGGAGCTCTGGACACCAGTTTCCTTTTCTCACGAACCAGCTTCTCTGTGGGGTCTGCACCCCTTCTTCTCTCCCAGCTCCCAGAACTGCACTGCTCCCTCCTCTCTGCCCACACCTCCCCCCTCAACACAGCAAGGAGGACAGTCGCACGGAGGAGACGCACAGGGGCCGAGAGGCCAGGCGCGGGGCCTGGGCCGTGGGCAGAGGGAGGGAGAGGCCGCGGGCACTCTGGACTGTGAGCTGTACAAGTAACCCGGTGCTCCCTCTGCCCTCCGTGTCCGCGCTCCTTCCATCCCGGCTCAGCGATGATGACTACAAGCCACTTGCCACTTACCGGGGCTGAGAACACGAAAGAGCAGAATGACCAGGAAGACATCTAGCCTTCTGTTGTTTTCTGATGTGTGTGCACAAGCGAGAGCGTATGGGTGGGGCAGCGGAAGAGAATACACACGGGAGGGAAATTTTACTATGATTTGATGTCATTCACCAACAAAGCCGAGGGCCTCTTTTTTAAAAAAAATATATATATTTTATTGATTTTTTACAGAGAGGAAGAGAGAGGGATAGAGTTAGAAACATTGATGAGAGAGAAACATCGATCAGCTGGGGATGTGCCCGCAACCAGGGTACATGCCCTTGATCGGAATCCAACCTGGGACCTTTCAGTCCGCAGACCGACACTCTATCCACTGAGCCAAACGGGTTTCGGCCCAAGTACCTCTTATAAAGGATAAAAAGGCAGCATAGAAAGGAAGCCCTGGCCGGTAGTCCAGTGGTTAGAGCAGCAGCCCTCACATGGAAGGGTCTCAGGTTCGATTCCTGGTCAAGGGCATGTACCTCAGCTGCAGGTGTGTTCCCTGGCTCTGGTCGGGGCATGTGCAGGAGGCAACCAATTGACATGTTTCTTTCACATCGATGCATCCTCCTCCCGCTACTCTCTCTAATATCCTCGGGTGGGGATTAACAACAACAAACTCCAAAGCCTTTTCATCCATCACCCCGCACAGACACTCTCTCCTAGGAAATGAAAGGGCAGTTGCACAGGAGGCAGGAAGCTGACGCGCAGGAGCCCGGGAAAGACCCTCTGTCACAGCCTATTTCAATGGAGGTTAAGTATTTAACGCAGGAATGGTCTTTTCCTAAGAACGACCGATGAGAAGCTGTCCCTCCAGCTTCCCCACCAGCCAGCAATCCTGTCCCACTGTGTCACCGGCGCTTTTGAGAGGCCCTTGTGTTAATATATACATAAATTAAAAGCGGAACCACAGTCATCAAAAAACACCTTTGCCTCTGGCTGGGTGGCTCACTTGGATAGAGCATCATCCTGATGCACCAAGGTTGCTTGCTGGTCAGGGTACATACAAAAATCAACCAATGAATGCATCAATACAAAAAGCCCATGTTTCTTTCCTTCTCTCACTCTCTCTCTCTCTCTCTCTCCCTCCCTCCCTCTCCCTCTTTCTCTGTAAAATCAACTAAAACACAACTCTCTTCTTAAAAGAGGATTCTTCATAAGATTCAACAGTAAACCCCTTTATGGAGTTCAAAACAATTTAGTTTAAAAAATCTACTTAAAGAAAACCTTCACTTCTATCATGTAAAATAAGATCTTTATAAATATGCATTTTTTTTTTTATTATGCCATTTTCTTCTTTTCTACTTTCAAAATACAGGGAACCTGGGTTCTGGAACTTAATTTGTTCCGGGGAAGGCTGTTTGAGAACCAATTTGTTCGAAAACGGAATCATTTTTCCCATTAGAAATAATGTGAATTGAATTAATCAGTTCCAGACTCCCAAAAGATTCCGTTTTAACTGTTCTTATACACAGTACATGTCACAGTACATGTCTAATGTACTGTCTGATCTATAAATAAACACTCCTTTTGTTAAGTGTATCGAACCGCCCTTATGGCCTTAAATGAATCCCTCCCAGCACTCGGGCCAGGGCTGTCTTTCGGGTCAGCATGCAGCACCTTGCTGCTCACTCACTGCTGCCTCCGAAATGCTGTCACCTGCTGACTGCTCTTCCTTTATCCAAATCAACAAGTTTCCCCTCGCTTCAGCGGTCTGTGATCACTGTGGCACCCTTAGCAAGGCTAGCACTCTTTAAAAAAATAAAAAAATAAAATATATATATACATATATA